ATGTTGTGAATCGCGCTGAGCTCCGTGGAGGTGTGGTTCCTTGTTCAGCGAAACACAGCCAAACTCACCCTGAGCACACACAAAGTCACAGCCGAAGTAAAAACAATAAGTGTGGCTTGATATTGAGTAAGAAAAAGGTTGATAAACGCTGTGAGAATGGGTCTGCAGAGAGAATTTCGCCGCGATCCCAACTGTCTGTAATCAGCCTGCAGCCAGGGAGGAGAGATCAGCTGCCGGCACTGAGTGTGTGTGTGAGGAAGTCCGTGGATTGGTCAATTTGGACCAATCAGCGGGGGCTTAACGTAACGGCTCCGCGGACGTAACGTAACGCTCCACGGATTGGTCCATTTGGTTCCGGGTAACGCATGACATCATGAGTTACCCGGAAGAATCAATGGACAGTGACGTATCTCCAACGAGGCGTTTTGGGGAGGTATAACCTCTGTAGCTTAACTGTCATTCTCTATTTATACAAGAGCACCCCTGTACTGTAATACATAGTTCGTAGTACACATGTACACTTCACCAAGGAGAAGATGTATAATTCTCTCGAAACCTAAACCAATACTGTTTGATTCCAATTTATGTAGGCCTGGGGTTTATGAATCATGTCATACTGTAAACTGATTATGCTCACTTTGAGTGTCTCACATAGTCTTGTTGCAGCAGGGGTCGGCAACCCCTGGCACGCGTGGAATAAGTGTGCAATAATATTTAAATTGTATTTNGTTCGTGGTCATTTGAAAACAAATGCCGGTGGTGTCGGACACACACAAACACACCCAACACACACACACAGAGCGGAGCTGAGCACAAACACACATCATGCGCCCCGGTGACCGGACATCTCCTTCATAAAACGAGGGGAATACTCTGGTAGTTCGATGTGTGTAGGGGTGTGTGTGGTTAAACGTAGCAGCCTCGATCTCTATTCAGCGGTTCTAATGAAGGGAAACACAGTGAAGTAAACAGTAAAAGGCACAGCTATTTGCAGCTGGTGCTGCTCTTCTCAGATTCTGCTGAGTTACCCTGGATATGTTTGATTTACCCGGCTTAACTAACCCTAACAAACGCGGTCTCGCTAAGCGGCCCTAAGAAACTGGTTATCAACTCAGTATATCAACCAGGGTTTCTCTGTCCGGCTGAGAGCGCGTTCACGTGAAAGGGACGGGGTTAGCAACATTTGACCAGTAACAAACATGGAGAAGCGTGCTGACAGCGCAGCGTCATACTTCATGAATGAATAGTAAATAGCAAATCCTGCTTCGTAGTACAGGCCACTGGTGCCGCAGAGATTTCATAAAGTGAAGGAGGTTCCTTCTATAAAACAGCTGTGGGCAGCAGATACTGTGAGTCACGGACAGGAATTCATAGATCAAAGCAGACTGGTTTACAGACTCTTCTGTTTTGCCAATCCGGTGCTTGAACAAATAGCTCTAAACCCCTGGCCAAAATGTCCCTAAATGAAGTCCGAGTTTGGAATATATATCAAATAATGTATGCACTGCCATTTCTCAACATAAACATAACAGTCTGCAATGAAACGGTCCTCTGTGCTCCTCTTCCTACTTGGCGCACCGGTAACTTTCCAGTGAGAACGAGAAACTAACTAAATACTTTCTCTTTCGCACAAAATACGAACGAGAGAGTATATCGTGCGCACAAGATACTTTTTTGTTCTCTCCATGAACCTTTAGGGGCTCCATAGGGCTGATTTTTTCCATTTGGAAGAAATTCAAAATCACTTTGAAGTCACAATCTAAATAAAGCTCTAATCCACTCAGTATGCTTGCAGTTCTTGTGAATTGTAAGTTAATATAATGGATTACCATGTTTTCTTAAAATGTCTTTCCATTTAAGATACCATAGGAATGAAGGAAATATGGATGGATAGCTGAATTAATGAATAATGTATTGGAGGGAGAGGGAGGAAAAACATTGTGTTGGCAGAATTACAGGTACTCGTAAAAAATAGAAGGAAAGGATGTGATATGACTCGAATGCATTGTGAATCATTTATTGGTCTTTTTTTCCAGCAACAGTTAACACTCATTATCTTGCTTTTTTTATTCAGCCTCGTGCGGTGGGGATATCAGGGGGCCTGGAGGCATCATCTTATCACCTGGCTTCCCGGAGCTGTATCCCAACTCCCTTAACTGTACATGGACTGTAGAAGTCAGCCATGGGAAAGGTAGGAAAACAACATTAATTGAAATCCTATCAAATGTTATTTATACAGCCCAATAATCACAAATTACACATTCATCTCGGGGGGCTTTACTGTGTGTACAGCATACGTCACCTTGTGTCCTTAGACTCTTGCATCGCACTAGGCAAAACTCCCCAGAGAAACCCCACATGTATTGGGGAACCTCAGGGATAGCAACAGAGGGATCTGCCACAGGACAGACGTGCAATAGAGGTTGGGTGTATGGATTTAAAAAAGAAAACATAGACAATCCAAATGACTATACACATTCAAATAATACATTCTTCAACGTGTAAGTGAAAATAATTTGCAATAAAACACTTTATTTGTATGTATTTTTTGGTCCTTAGCCTTTTTACTGTACAGTTAAGGAACTCTTAAACTATAAAACATTTTTTTTATTTGATACTGTGTGATTTATTGACTCACTACACCTTAGCACTCTTATTGGTTTTATTACTAAACACAATGACATTCAAAAGACCTCACAATGGCTAAATTATGAACCTATAAATTAAAAAAACGACTAACCCCCAACAGATTAGAAGAACATTACAGGGATTTATTATTATAAGGCGAGAAAGGACTTGTTCAAAGATAATTTTAATGCTTTGACTTTTTCTATCTTTGGCAAGTGTCCAGTGATAACATTACTCTCCGAGGTGTTCACTCTTGAAGATTTCACTGTGTGATCCTTTTTTTAAACAGTTTTATAACTATCAGAAAATTCAGTTTGATTTGTTGTTCTGCTTTATCAGCAATTCTCAAATAATTGTTGCTGGTACAGGCCTACAGGATGTTGTTCAGACATTCTTCAGCAGGATAGCATTTTACTCTGTTATGCTAATATTGCTTTTCATCAATTTTCCAACTAATTTACAGCTATCAAAATATTTGGCATTTCACTGGAGAAATCGGATATCTCATTTTAATTCACATACCGTTCTCTATTTAATTTAATTAGTTTAATTCCATTATCTCAGTACTCACTGTGAGTTAAATGAACAGTTACCAGTTCTCTGAGACCTTCTCATTCATTATCATTTGAAAAGGAAACTGAGCTTATCTCAGTGTCCTTGCATTTAGCTGTATTTTCTGTGTATTTTACCATTGTACTTCTTCTAATCCTCTTTCAGAAGGCCGGTTGAATATCCTCGTTCACTAGTTGTACCTTACCAATCGATCTTTTGTCGCCAACCATCAACTCTATTTCCTGTTAAGATTTACTTTTGATGGTTGAAGGCCCATCAGCAATCCATCCACATTTGACATTAGGAAAACAACATATACTTTGAGTTTCTGCCTCAAAGCTTTCCAATTTGTGTTCAAATCCTCTCATCAATTCTTATTCTTGCCATGTTTTTTTTATATGATAACTTTTCACATTTGTTATGTCATAATGGAAAGTCTCAAACATGTGTTTAATTAGAAATGGTAAGTAATGAAAAAAGCTATTAGACATTTAACCAGGGGCGACTTCAGTTTATTGAATTAAATATGATTTATGGTTGCCAAAATCTCATAGTGTACAGAGCTTAACTGAGCAAATAAAAAGCCATTAAGTATCCAAGATCACCATTTAAAGATTGCAATCAAAGTTCCCAGTGACCATTATTTTAACATGGAATGTGTTTAAAACATACTGGTTTTAAAACGTGCACGATTCCACTGGCATATCGACTAAAACTATACTAAAGTAATTGAAATAAAAAAATGTCATCCCACATAGGCATTTTCTTGGTTTTCATTATATTAATGTCTTTAGATTTGAATCTGCACAACCCCAAAACACAAGTGATCCCATCAGGATAATATATCTTTTACCAGGACACTGATTTTTCTGGTGTATTTCATCCTGTGGCTACTGACTGGAACACACATTCATCTTTAGGGATAGTGGCTAAATAACTATTCCACTTCATAATTGCCAATATCCCGATCCTGTACCTACTGCATTAAAATACTGGGATGTCCCTTCGTAGGGATGGCTCTTGATTAATTGATCATTTGGCTAAACTTTCTGTTATTTAATCACCGTTTTACCGAGCACAATCAATCACTTCATTTTGTTATTTATTTTATGGCCATTTGGGTCTTTTTTTATGAAGTGAGCCAAACATTGTGGAGGACATTATAGAGTCATATCTGAACAGATTCAACAGATGGCTTTAAAAGTGCTTAATGCACTGAAAAAGCAGCCAACTTGCCATCATGGTCGCAATGGAGATGCTATTGGATCTGAGTCAGTGTGACAAAACAGGCAGGGTGTAAAAAACCCAGATCTTGTTTTCCAAGTAAAAGATAAACACAAATTTGTTGATATTACATTTAGAAACATTTTTCTAGGTTATTCTTTTTGCTGCAGTAGCAGATGTTCTATTAGCAATCATGTGCTCTCCTCATGATCATCTACTGTTAGGAAGAACTATGTTTAAAAGTTGTATTTGATGGGCAGATGCAAAGCTGTGATAAATGACAGACTAGTGCTGTTGGAAAGGCCAATACTCTTCAGTGTTATAATCAGTAAAAAATAATTTTCACTTAATTTAGTTTCCATTCCTTTTGCATTTAATTGCTTTTTAACATTTTTGTGTGTTGTGGGAAAACATGTTATGTTTATGGCACAGACAAACATATTATATTATGTTTTCCCATTGTCCTTTCTATCTTAGCTAATTTCATTAGGATTAATTGTTATATACTTATCCCTAGGGCTGCTGTAAGGGAGAAGCATTTATTATTTAATTAATGAAAAATGCATTGTTTAGATTAATGTTCCAGCAAGCTAAATCCAACTCCAGCTGATTTTTAATCATGATAATAATAGTGTTTATTATAGCTAACATTTTAATTGAATAGTAGTCATCTTTATTCTGAGGTCATCATATCAAATGTTTGTCTGTGCCGTAAATCAGTTTTCTCAACCTTATGGGTCAGTATGGACATCAATTCAAGAACATCTAATTTATGCATTGAATATTCTATTCAAATCCTTTCCATCCTTTTATTAGTGATTCCTCTGAAAAGCTCTAACGCTTGGCTTTCTTATTTTCTCCTCCAAGGTGTCCAATTCACTTTTTACTCCTTCCACCTGGAAGATCACCATGACTACCTTCTGATAACAGAAAATGGCAGCTTCGCCCAGCCACTGGCTCGCCTCACAGGCTCAGAGAGGCCTTCACCGGTTAATGCTGGCCTGTATGGAAACTTCAAGGCCCAGCTACGCTTCATATCTGACTTCTCAATATCGCTGCAGGGATTCAACATCTCCTTCTCCGGTATGAAGACATATGAGGATTCTGTCTGTAGATGGCAGGGAAGGGAGAGTATTGGTAGGAGGGAAGACAAAAAGGGTAGGGAAAGCTTTAAAAGAGAAAGTGAGATGAATTGTGTGGAGGAGTAAGGATGCTGAATATGTGGTGGGAGGAGTTGTTAAGTACAAGGGAGTAGAAAGCAGAAGTGAAAGACTTTGTGACGGACAGAAATAGAAAGACAGCCCGTTCAATGATAAGATCAAAAGTGCTAAGCCTCCCTAAAGCACGCATAAAGTAACCTGTGAGGAGTGATTTGTCGGTCAGAATGGGAGCCGGCTTAAGGTAGACCATGCCTTCAGGCTGCGCCGATCAGAGTGGGATAATTAAGAGACAACGAGGTCACGCAGGTAGAGGCGGTCTGACCGTGATGAGAATGATCATCAAAGCTTACCATGTGGGTCAGTATCCTGAACACTGAGGAGAAGGGGCGGGGGGATGGTTACAGAAATAATGGGCCCCCCATGCAGAGACCAGGGAGTGGAGAAACACTGAGAAAGCTGGAGATGGGAGGCTGAGCCAGGGAGAAAAGAGACAGATGGTGATGCTTAGTGAGCGGGTTTGATGGAGAGGGTCGAGAGAGATAGAGAGAGAAAGAGAGGCAGGAAAATACTGTAAAGTAGAAAAAGGAAGAGAGAGGGGCTGCTTCATGAGCATTCTGGCTAAATGTTTGCCTGCTGTCCACTGAAGTAAAGCATCACTTATGCAGCCATGAATATTCATGAAGTTTGTCGGTGTGTGCAAGCCCTGGTCTGTGATTAGCATGTATAGATCTTCTGATTAAAATGCATTTTTTAACCTTTTCTGACCTTTGATGAAATGTGCCAATGCTGACAGACCACGTCCTATGGTAGGATGCTTCTGTAATGTTTTGCTTTATTGAAATCAAAAGCCATACTGCTAAATAAAGGGGCCTTGAGCAAGACCGTTAATCCCCACAAGCTACGATATTGCTTGCTTCCTTGGGGATTATTATCACTGACAAGTTTAACTAACAAATCATTCTAATTATGCATTTATAATATATTTGTGGCTATTTTCCTTCCAGAGTACGATCTTGAACCCTGTAAGGACCCGGGTTCGCCACAGTTTGGATGGCACACGGGCTCCAGGTTTGGCATTGGTGACTCACTGCCGTTCTACTGCAACACAGGATACCGCCTACAGGGGGCGCGGGAGATAGTGTGCTTGGGAGGTGGCCGGCGCATGTGGAGTGCCCCTCTGCCAAGGTGTGTGGGTACGTGGTCAGCTGCTTTTATTCCATTTCCCTTCCTGTTTGTGTATGTCTATAGCAGAATGTGCATAGTTAGCCAGTGCGATGTGTTAAATGTGTTTGGCGAAGAATTGAACCTTTTTTAGACATTCAAGAACTCAGTGGAATTAGAATTACTTAAGTAGACCATAATTATAAATGCAGACCTGTTATTAATACTGATGTGAGCGGCTAGGTTCAACTACCCTTGGAGATCTCTTTTCCTTTGAAGGGTGCTCCAAGGGCAGTTTAAGGGAGTGGAGTTAAGGGACAATACCACTGCACTGCTCACCCCCCCCCTACTCCCCTACCAAGAACCTCAAATACATTACTTGCATATTTAAATAGCTGACTCCAGAGATCTAGTCGTTTTTATAGCAGAGTTATTGTGTCATTTAAACGAGTTGCCTTGTACCCTGTGATGAAAGACCTAACATTACCAACCTCTAGCACACCAGTTTAGCCCTGTGTTAGAAAAAGACTGCTGCTGTGGCGTGAATTTTACATGAAGCAAACCAATAGCAATAGGTTTATGGATATTTGATATTTTGTTGGTAATGATTTTTAAAGTAAAAATTATCTTATTTTAGAAGAAAAAAAACAAAAGAATAATTGTTGTCTTTGTGTTTGTTTTTTTTTGCAGCGGAGTGTGGATCGACAGTCTCCAACAACGAAGGAGTTCTTTTGTCGCCAAACTATCCAATGAACTATGACAACAGCCACGAATGTGTCTACAGCATTCATGTTCAAACAGGCAAAGGTATCAACATCACTGCAAGCACCTTTCAACTCGCACAAGGTGACATCCTCAAGGTAAAGACACAATGCAGTCATTCCTCTTTGTTGACAGAAAATAGATAACCAACAAATAAACAAAGGGCTTGGTTTAGGAACCGCCATTTTGTCTTTGCTTAATTAATGTGGAAGCATGTGATGCAGGAAACGTGAAGTAAGGGATTTCATGGAAATAACCTGGCAGAATTCCAAAGGCCAAACAGTTGCAAAAGCAGCATTCCTTTTGAAAGAAAGGGATTCATGTCTTCGCTCAAGGGCACTTTAACAGTCTTAGAAAGCACTGCGAATGAGACGCAAATGACTATGTAGTTCCCACTTCACAGCTGGAATGCACTCTTTTTGGGATGCAGATGTCTTGTCTAATGCTCCAATTAACAGCATTGTAGCCTACTATCAGTGTTTCTAGTAATAGAGTTGTGTAGACAGTAATCTGCTGTTCTTAGTAATTTTGTGAACATCTGAAATGTGAAAAGACATGCTTAGAGCCAAATTGACTTGAGGGAAGAGAAACAATAAAAACGCAGAGAGGGCTCTAGTAGTAATTCAAAGGAAGAGCCCAGAGCCATGTTTTTTCTCAGGTGTCAATCATAAAGGATTAGGAATCTAAGTGGAATAGGTGTGCTTCTTCAAAAAACAATTTGAACGAGGCCTGTGGTTAAAGAAAAAAAAAAAAATTCTGTTAAACATGTATTTGAAAAAGAAAAGGAAGATAAAAATACAATTATTTATATAGAAACATCCATGAAAGCATTCAAAAAAACGTGTAAGTACGTTACTCTTTGCTTGGAGGAGGCACTGTTTAAAAACTGTCATTGGATTTCAAATTGTAACAAAATATTTGATTTATAATTGGGGTCTTCTCAGATCATGTGATGGTATAAATAGCGCACATGAAACAGTAATTCCTCCAAACCTTATACATTCTCTTTTTCTTAGGGCTGTCAGTCGATTAAAATAGTTAATCGTGATTAATCGCATGATGTCCATAGTTAATCGCGATTAATCGCAAATTAATCGCAAATTAATCGCACATTTTTTATCTGTTCTAAATGTACCTTAGAGGAATATTTTTCAAGTTTTTAATACTCTTATCAACATATGAGTGGACAAATATGCTTTATGCAAATGTTTGTTTATTATCATTGGAACAATGACAAATATTCTCATGAATATTCTCAACACAACAACCTGGAGCCTCTCTCTCTCTCTCTTACACTCTCTCCCAACCCTGTGTACTTCTTTGCACTGAGCCAGTTGCTCAAACAGACAAGCCTGTTTACAGTTGTCGGCGAAATGCCGCTCCTCTGTCTTCATCTTCAGTCAAAGCATGAGACTGAAGTTCCCACTGTGGGTCAAAATAATGCGCTGTGATGTGCAGTCGACACGTTGGATGCAATCCGAATGATCTAACGCAGCCCCTCGTCCTCCACAATGTTAAGCTGTAGCCACCCATTTAGCTATCGCTGTTGTTGTCCAGGCGTCTCCCAGGCTTCTACCCGTCAAACTTTCAAGCGTGTTCTGCCGCAAGCGAGCGGCAGGAGCGGGGCTGTCAGCATCAGCTGTGTGCTTGGCTTGCTGTTTAAAACACCTTTTTTTGTATCCATATTTCTCGCTAGAATCTCCCACCATCTAACTAACAACAACAACAACAACAACAACAACAACAACGTCAAGCCTTTAGGTTCTGAAACTACGGGGCGGGCCGAGGACAAATACACATGCGTTAATCGCACGTTAAAATAATTAGTGAATCATGAATCCCATCTGCCTTGTAAGCTGTACAGATGCACAGTATCAGATCAATGGGAAGAAACATCCCTCCAATCTAAATTTTGACATCTCATTTAGGTTATTGGATTTGCAATAGATGTGCCATATAAAGAGGATATACACTACTAATAGCTTCTTTTTAATTGTGTCTCTCTTTCCTAAGTATGAATAATTAATTCCTAATATTATCATTCTACTTAATTATGGGGATTTAATCCTCAGTGTGCAGCAGAGCTCTCCATCATGTTCTTCTTCTTCTTTGTCTCTGATCAGGCATATGATGGTAAGGACGGGGCCGCCGCACTCCTTGGCTCGTACACTGGCACGCTGATGCAAGGTCTGTCCCTCACCACCACCTCCAACTATCTGTGGCTGGAGTTCTACTCCGACCAGGAGGCAACTGCAGCGGGGTTCCAGCTCATATACCAAAGTAAGTCACTGCTCCTTTCCCTGGGAGAGGAGGGCCCTAAAGCTTTTTCCAAGTGGATGAATTTAGCTCTACTTCAGGAGCCAGCCATCTCAAAGAGCAGAATTTTAAAGGAAGTTTTAATTGACCCTCACTGTCATTCACTGTCAGGGTATCCATTAAACACAGCACGGTGTTTCCACGCCATTCCTGCTGGACATTTCGCTTCTTTTCTTTTCACCCCTCCCTCCCTCTCCCTCTCTCTATGTGAATCCATTTTCTCCCTTTTCCTTTGCGCTCTATTCCTGCAATTAGCGTCCATGCCAGCCTAACTGTACCTTGTTAAAGCAGGTGAATTATTGTTTGGATTGTTTGAAACCAGTGAGTTTGTGTGTGCATGTGTTTTGAACGTTTGGATCATTGCTATAAGTGGGCCAGTAATAGATGAGTTTTGCTTCTCCCTCTAATTGGCTTGCTGACTGTGTATTGTTGCTAACTGTTTCTAATTTATTACTGTGACGGGATAATGTTTTGGTTACACTGCATTTTGCAGTCCAATTTAAAGTGTTTTTCTGTTTCACCTGCATTTGAGCTCTGTAAATTTGTTTTGGCTACCAGCAGTTTTTATAAGGTAGAATTCAACACAGTTAGTTAGAATGGAAACGGTCACACTGCAGTTTTGACTTGAATAAAATGAAAGGGAATAAGTTTCAAGCAACTTGCAGTAACGAGGCCCAAACTGGCAATTTTCACTCTGCGATAATTACACCAAATGTGCCAGGTACGAACTGCTGTATTACAGTTCCAATACAACTTTTTTACAATCGAGTGCAGCTCAGCATTAATCATGGTTTTCGTTTTTTGCAGCCTGACAGGCCTGCCAAAAATAATAATAAAATATACATTAATCAGCTATGTGTAGCCATTTACAACAAGTAATTAAGTTGCCATCAGCATCTTAATGCAACAACAATTAGTTCGGAAGAGCCTTTTGAGTTACAAAATTAGCCATAATTAAATGGCACATAATTAGATATAATTTCAGATTTGTTTCCAGAGACATGCACAAGGTAAATGGCAGTATAAAAACACTTTATCCACCTCAAAGTGAAGTCTTCACTTGGTCTTTTCATCCAGAATGAATAGCCCTTTGAAATGTGGAGAGGTCTGAGTGATGTGAGAAAAGCAATAGGGCAAGGAGAAGGTGGGATATGGGCAACTTAAATCTAGTCTCAACATGAAACCTGATCATGTTTTCAGGACTCTTCTACCAGAAGTGCAGATGTAATTTTCTAAATGTGAGCAGTAACTGCAGGAGATTTATACTGGGCATGACACTTGTAATGCTGCCATAACATCTGGCATGGGCATGGACCTCGCTGTGAGAAGAGGCCGTAAATCAGCCCTGCTGGGTTTATGTGCAGACACTGTTGCTGCATATCAGAACACTTGCATTTAGTATCTAGAAGAGAGGAATACACATAACGTGGTAGAGTTCAAACATGGCCATCTTAAGAGTTATTGCAACACCTTGTCTTGTTTGTGACTCGTACATTTCATTTATTTTGTATAAGTGTTACGAATGGATGGGCTGTTTCTCAATTGTAACTGCCGGCATTCAATCAAACATTTGATTGTGAACATTTACTATTTTCCAAATGGAATCTTTTACTGCTACGTAATATAATAGCAATGTAAGACCAACCCACAACTGGAAATTGATTCTATGTTCAATAATTTTCTTCTTTTCTTTTAGGTTATCGAGAGATGTTCACCAAATATTTTAAACATGACCAGCTTTCTGTCAACAAGCAAGACGACCCCATTCTCTAGATAAAAATGAATTTGGCACTGGTTCACAAAATGGCTTGCCAGAACTCATATTCTTATCCTGCCTTATGACCTTCTCTTGTGCCTCTCAATGTTTCTCATCCAGGCTTTGAGCTCTCCCACTGCGATGATCCAGGTGTGCCGCAGTTTGGCTTCAAAGTCACTGACCAGGGTCACTTTGCTGGAAGTGCTATCACATTCGGGTGTGACCGAGGTTACACCCTGCACGGCAGTGGCATACTCAAGTGCATGACTGGGGATAGAAGGGCATGGGACAACCTCCTGCCGTCTTGTATAGGTAATCCTTTCTGTCTAAGCAGTCTTTGACCATTCAATTCTCTTTTTTTCTCTCCTACTGTAGTAGTTACATTATTATTCAGGCCAGGCACACTGTCAACATTGCTCATCTACTGTAGGTGTTGATTTTAAGGATGTATCACTATGTGGGTTCTACTTAATGGACTGAATTGAAAGAAAACACACTGCTTGTGTTTTTGTTAGAGAATATAAACACATCTGATGTTTTAAAGGTCCCATGTCATGGCCGTTTCTACTTATCATAATTCCATGGTTGAGGTCTACTAGAATACATTTATATTGTGCAATGTTCCAAACTCACATTGGTTTTCTCATACAGCATCTCTGTATAGTATGTGTATTCACTCTCTGTCCTAAACGGCTTGTTGGAGCTCCTGCCCCCCACTCCCTGTGAGCCCACATCAGCTGTACATCAGTGATTATGTGTTACAATGGCTTTTGTTAGCAACCAGAAAATGACACCAGTAATGACAAACAGATGAGAATGCTGCGGGAAGGGGGGTAGGGGTGCTGAGGGGGCTGCAGCACCACCATCTGCGAGGCTCCACTGTTACCCCTACCCCCCCGCACCCCCAAACGCAGTTGTCCTCGCTACAGGGTGTACTTTGAGGGTTTGTGACTCTGCAGGCTGTTTACATGCAGAACAACCTTCATAACACACAAGCGGACGGGTAATAACCAGAAAAGCATGACATGGGACCTTTAATACAAATTATTGATCTCTCTCTGTGTGTTCTTGATGCTGAAATGGCTGTACTGTATAGAGCAATTAAGAACAATCTCAATCACTATTTAATTTTTTACGATTGTCATTGATGAGCATTTCTCCAGCACAGAGGCATAATTATTAGAGCATTCGTATCAGATTTGTTCTGGACATGATGTACATTCTTGGCTGTACTTTCATATTCACAACGTGCTGAGACAGTGAGACAGAGAAACTATGAAGCTATTACCTGCACGCTGCTAGAGCCTGGAAGGTGTTGTGAGGCAGTGTCTGTTTCTTGATGGCTAGCAGTGATGGATTAAGGCACAAAATGATTTATAAATTCCGGACGTGTGCGGAATTGCATTTTAAATGCGCCTCTGTCCTTCCGCCTTTTTCAATGAAACATGTATTTATTCCTTTATGAGTAAAAATGTCTTAGCTCTGGCATTGTGGCATGTTCAATAACATCACAAAAAAGTAAACCGGTCTACTGATTAACTGTTAAATAGTGCTGGATAACTGAATGGTCAATATTAATAGTGAGCTTTGCATCTGTGAGCTGAATGTAAAATGGGATTCCCAGCCATTTCTCCAGGGTTACCTTCTGGCTCCTGTCCAGGGCTTTTACATTATCCTGCTGTTAGGATCCTGATTATAGCCTACCACTGTGGCAATCTAATGCAATTTTCCTATTAATTAAGAGCAGTTTGTTCTGTATCATAGATAGCAAGAAGATAACCAGGGGAGAGACAACATAGATTGGATGATTTACAAACATTTCATCAGTCATTTGTAGCAGTGTCCTTCCTGCCATGCAAGACCCTGCCTGAATATTCTTCGGACACATTCTTTTTAAAGTAAATGAATGACATCATTAGGAGGCATACTTACAGACAAAACAAGTTTTGTTTTGCATCTGTGACTTTCTCTTTCAAGACAGGAAGTCTGTAAAGTCCCATTACCTGTTAGTAAAAGGAACTCATTTTTCAGCAGAGCTTAACTGTTGCTCATTAGTCCTCATTGTAGACTCTGAGCTGCAGTGAGCTAAGACCTTGACAGCAGTTTTTCTGTATTTCAACAAGCTCTTTTTTTGTGTATATGCATCTCCATTTTCTCATGGTTGAGTTTATGTATTTTATGTGTGCATGCAGCGGAGTGTGGTGGGAGTTTCAAAGGTGAGTCTACCGGGCGAATCCTGTCTCCTGGGTATCCCTTCCCCTACGACAACAACCTGAGGTGCACCTGGACCATTGAGGTCAACTCTGGCAACATTGTCAGGTAACTCACGGTGCTAATAACATTATTGTATATTCATATATTGCATAAACTGTGCTGTTTCTGTTGTATAAGAAATGTGTTTGCTATTAGCTCTCTATAACTGATGTATTCAAAACTTCCTAGAAAAACCTTATAATATGTTCAATATTTAAATTAAAATTTGCAATAATTTATCAAAATATGCAAATTGTATTTTGTGTCATTTCTTATCAAAAGAATATAATTGGTCCTTAAGTTATTAGTCTACTAAAAGGAGTTATATACTGTATATTGGATGAGATTAAATGGATTTGTATAATAAAACTGAAGCGAGTCTGACTGACGTTTACATGGTTCATGCAATGTATTCACAAAGTAATTGCCTAAAAGTAAACAGATGTGAGTTGATTTGAATACATCTAACATTATCTGAGGTCATCCTTACTTGACCTGAAGACAAAAATAGCTTAAAGGTTTTCACGAGACATTACAAAGTTCAGTTAAGATTTTAAACATGAACAAGTCTCCTCTAAAGCAAGGTGTCATCAAGAGAAACAGCCTGCAGCAGCTCCATTAACAATGATTGGGAGAGCGACTTTGTAGACGCTGTGACAGCACCCAGAGGCATTTTCCAGGGACATGGAAGCATTTTTTTTTTTTCTTGAGAGCTCCTAGTATTACTGTGAAATAAAACCCATCGGGACTTGGAGGTCGAAGTAAACATGGTATGATTTCATAAAGTCAGCCACACATTCTTTGTCATAAGACCTGCTTCAGGCTATCTCTTGATGAGACCGCAGATAAGTCTGTGCTATCATATTTCTAACTTTGGCAGGAACTGATTGATGATACCAAATCTCAACTGAAATAACCGAAAGCAGGGGGCACAGTTAATAGTTAGATCCCTCCTTTGACCTCAATTTAAGTTCAGCACTCATTTTACTTGCCTTCTTTAGAAAACTTGTTTAACTGACTGAATTAATTAAAAGCCTATGCTAACAATCTCTTGTGTCTTTTGCAGTCTCCAGTTCCTTGCGTTCGACACAGAGGCGTCCCACGACATCCTGAAGGTGTGGGATGGGCCTCCTGAGAACGAGATGTCTCTGAGGGAGGTTAGCGGCTCGCTGCTGCCTGAGGGCATCCACTCCACTCTCAACATCGTCACCATACAGTTTGAGACTGACTTTTATATAACCAAGTCTGGCTTTGCCATCGACTTCTCCAGTAAGTATTTCCTGTTGTTTTGTTGTTTGCTCATAGTAAGAGTCTCTTTGAGGAGTTAAAGTTTTTGGAAATGTAATGACATCAAACTGTCTCTGTATAAAGCGTATTATGTCTATTTGTAGAGACATTAAGTGTATATTCCACAGAGTATGCCTAGCTCGTAAGGAGTATATTAAAGGTTAATACAAAGTTGATTTCAATGTCTCCAAAATAATGAAATTCTCAAACTGAAGCTTTTAATTTGAACATTTCCTCATGCCCTGTGGAACTCTTTGAATTTGATGTAACCTTTAACCATGCTTTGATGAGCAGTGAGTCCCAGGTATTCTACAGTTTCCTGCTGTTAGCCTACTCAAGCACTCTCATGTTCTGCTGGTATTAATTGTATTCATTACTCTAGTAAACCGGAAAGGAAGCATAATGTTGAAATCAATTACATTGGGATTCTGCACCTGTTTTAAGTGAGAATCGATTCTGAAGATGCATACAAAACTTACATTCCTGGATTGCCCCCGGCTGGTGGTTTCAGGCTGGAAATCTGGTTTTGTTAAGTGAATTTCTGCAGACCTTCTTCAATGAGTGACTGTTTCTTGTGGATGGTACCTATGATGTTCCTTAGGATTGGAAGTATTTTCAGTTTAATAGCAATTTGCAGTACGATTTCTACAGAAAATAAGCCTTGTTTTTTAAGTTGAATTACTTTAATCCATCAATCCGAAGATGGTTACACAAACATTCATTGTCTATGTAGAAATTAGGTCAAGTGTATCTTTATAATTATAAGTTAAACTATTATGATCGCTTCTATCAAAGTTGTTAAACGTATTGACTCGTTTTTGCTCCTACATTTTCAGATTAGATAATAAAATACAGTGTGCTGTCTTATAATGATCACACATATAAAATGTATACAAACTGATAACCATTTTGTTTTAATACTTTGATCTTTTTTTTGTTCATCATGTTTTACTTACAACACCAAACTTCAATATACTTAACTGTGTTAAGTCTCTTAATAACGTCTGTCTAGATGGGAGCATTTGTAGAATCCATCAGATTTGACCAGATCATGCCTATACCTCTGGGCTCCACAGCTGTGCTTTAGAAACAGATTAGGTGAACACAGCAGGATTCTGACTGATATCAGTGTTCAAACCACAGTTTTAACTTGACAGCTGTCTACTGTGAGATATGAAACTCCTTGTACGTGTGTGCATGCGTGTTCACTCATGCAATCATTGATCCCATGCGCTCTGCATGCTCATGTGCACCTGTGTGTGTGTTTGCCCCTCAGGTTCGCTCGCGACAGCTTGCAGAGATCCAGGTATTCCCATGAATGGTAGTCGCAATGGGGAAGGGCGGGAGCCTGGTGACTCGGTGACCTTCTCTTGTGATCCGGGATATGAATTGCAGGGGGAGAGCAGAATCACCTGCATCCAAGTGGAAAATAGATACTACTGGCAACCCAGCCCGCCAAGCTGCATCGGTGAGAGAGGGCGACGTGGTTTGAGTTATTGAGGGGGAGAAGTACGGGGGAGACTGAGAGGTACATGGATGGGAGGAGAGGGGGAGAGAAGGAGGGAAGTTTGCGGGATCAGAGTTACAAAATAAAGATATTGAGATGAATAGTGAGCAGGGGAGTTTTCGATTTAGTGTCTGTAGCAGAAACTAATTCTCTCTCACTGATGTCTGAAGAATATGGGCAGGATAAACAAAACTCTTCAGAGTTGAGTTGGTGCCAAGTCTTATGTCGACAAATCCACTTCACTAGCCTTTCAAAGACTGAGTACTCTACGCTATCGTTCCCGAGAACAATGTCTTATTAGAGCTTAACAGCTAATTACTTAACAATGCAACTCAAAATAATTACACCAAGTAGGTCTAAAGAAACTTGGATGTCGCTGCCAACGCGTCTGAGGTTTTGTTTCCTGGCCATAAAAGGCCTAGGTATTTGTTTCGCTTTGCAATTACAAGATTACGTGACAAGTCTCTATGAGTGAAAACATGATTTAAATGTCAGCTTTCCTTTTGGAGCTTAAGAGCAATACACTCATCATCATGTTACTAAAAGTTCTTCATATTGAAGCAAGCTGGCAGTTGATTCATCACACTCAAAGAATGACAAGAAAAGCCTTCTGCGGGGATTTAAGGTTTAGAGTGTCCTCTGACATGCTGAAGCACTCAAAATGTCCTTTTTAAATCATATAAATATAATCCAGCCAACTAAATCATAGAGCATAAATGTCAATTCACACTATTTAATTAAGTTGTCTTAATATCTTGTTAGTTTCATATCAGTCCCAAGAAGATCTGAGAGTCACATATCAATGGTAGGAAACATTTAGCAAGATGATGTAGGAAGGAGCAATAATCAAGTTCAACTAAAGATGTTTGCAGCAGGTCAAGGACACTTTTTGACCACTGTGTGCCTCTGCCTCATCCATTGCTTCTTCCTTTTTCTTCTCTCAAGCTCCTTGTGGTGGAAATGTGACTGGATCTTCAGGATTCATCCTCTCTCCAAACTACCCAAACCCCTACCCACACAGCAAAGACTGTGACTGGCTTATTGCTGTGCACTCTGACTATGTCATTTCCTTGGCTTTCATCAGGTAAGTTGAGCTGCTTCAAATGCAATTTTACATTCTTTAGTTGCTTGAGTCAAAACATAAGGAACAACAACATTAAATTAAATGATGGTGAAACTCAATGTCTTAATATCCAGACGATATGTGGAGAAACAGACATATTTTTGTCACAGTTGCTTTATTTATTCTTTAGAGCAAAGGTGTTTGATACATTCCTCGCACGTATGGATTACGCAAGTTCATTTAATTGGAAAGAAAAATGATGGCCTTGAGGTACATGCACATGGTCCAGTAACTTAGACTTGGAATTGCCTGTTTTCTGCAGTGGAACCAGCTATAACATGATGGTATTGAGCAAAGTTGGCCATGTGTGTTAAAGCAGAGGACCTGAGCTGGAGTCCAGGTGTGTTGGGAGATAGGGGGGAGCAGAAGTGCCTCTACAGATACGGTATCTACAGTAGAAGGCAGCTATCCTGCCGCTTTGCTGAAATGTGGTGAAACAAGATTTCCAAAAAATGGTATATTGCAGGCAGTAGTGTGATAAGAGTGCATCTCATTTCTTAGACTGAATCACACTAAGACCATAAGCCTTACATGATTAATTGCAATCTAAATATGTCGCAGCAATACTGGCAGCGCAAACTCACGGATGGGCCTGAGGGCACTTTTCATGGACCCTGTTGCTCTTGACTGTTATTTTTCTAGTCGTTTTTATGAAGAGCTGGAGAAGCAGCGTGCATTGCCTCTATCTGCACTCCCACCCACTTTCCCTTTTTCTCACCATGTTTCTTTTTCAACTTTGTCCTTCAAAACAAACATCTAATAGAGTTAGCACAATGCTGCTTTCTCCCATGGGAATGCCAAATGAAAGGATGGAGTTATGATTTTAAATTGAAGTTGCCTTGATCCAACTCAAATGCAATTATCTCCAAGTTATTTACATTTTTGTCATAAACCATGCTCATTATTTTGAAAACAAATGCGCCGCTCTCTCTCACTGAGGCATCTGATTTGATATACGGTGTTACAATATGAAACGATCTTTTCACACAGCATTGCCACTGCCGTCTGGGAAGATTTTGTGCCGGCGCTGTGTCACAACAATTTAATCTCTTCTCACCTCTTGGGGGAGATATCTTTTTTTATCTCTTTGTCTTGAGATGCAAAACAAATGGCTTGGCATGACTCACTCCTAGCACTGAAGTGCACACTCATTTTGCAGCCCTAATGCATACAATCTGGTGGTTAAGATTGGGCAAAATAATAACTGTTTTATCTAATTTATGTGTCTTTCATTTGTAACAGTTTCAGTATTGAGCCCAACTATGATTTCCTGTATATCTATGATGGGCCAGACAGCAGCGCTCATCTGATTGGCAGTTTCCAAGACAGTAAACTTCCCGAGAAGATTGAGAGCACTTCCAACTTCATGTACCTGGCATTTCGCAGCGATGGCTCTGTGAGCTACACCGGCTTTTATTTGGAATACAAAGGTAGACCTTTACGTTTTTTTTAAACAGAATGTGTTCATATGCAAGTGATTTTTAGATGGAAACGTATATACATGAAACGTAAACATGACGTGTTTAAAGTTTGCTACTTGACACACCTACTCTTTCTAATGGTAATGCAAGCTGTGAAAATAGCCTGTATCTATTTCCACCGCTTTAACAGGTCAGGTAGTGTTACATTAAATACACACTTGCAGCCTGAATAACTATTTGAACCTACTAATTAGAAACCCCACTCATTTTAAACACTTCTGACTGCTCTAAAAGCTTTGTTCTTTTGATTGGCAGCAAAACTGCGGGAGGCGTGTTTTGATCCAGGGAATGTGATGAACGGCTCTCGAATGGGTACTGACTACAAGCTGGGATCTATGGTGACATTTCATTGTGAGGCTGGCTACCTGCTACAGGGCTACTCCACTCTGACTTGTGTCATGGGCAACAGCAAGAGACCAGAGTGGGACAGAGCCAAACCGAGCTGTCAAGGTGAGTGAGAGGCAACACTTCTAGATGAACAGAAAGCCTGAGTAGCAGAGAGCTGCACTGCAGCTGTTTGGTCAATATTTGATACTATGTGAAACTGGGACTCTGCTGTGTCAAAATGAGTTATGTGTGGTGTACATGTCCATCACAAAAAGCTAGACTTAAAGGAGAGAATCATTTGTTTATTGATGTAGATCATTTATTGTTCATTTTAAATATGAATAAATAAAAAATTAACATTTAGAAGACACACTATGTTCAAGCCTGGTGTTGTCATTACAAACATTCATTATATGAAAGGCAGGGAGTCACTTCATTATGTGTAGACTGGACAAAAAACCCCTCTGTGTACTAAAACGTTCTAGACTGTGTGTGTGTGTGTGTGTGTGTGTGTGTGTGTGTGTGTGTGTGTGTGTGTGTGTGTGTGTGTGTGTGTGTGTGTGTGTGTGTGTGTGTGTGTGTGTGTGTGTGTGTGTGTGTGTGTGTGTGTGTGTGTGTGTGTAGTGTGTAGTGTGTGTGTGTGTAGTAGTAGTGTGTGTAGTGTAGTAGTAGTAGTAGTGTACGTAGTACGTAGTACGTACGTAAGTACGTAGTAACGTACGTAAGT